GATAGATAGATAGATAGATAGATAGATAGATAGATATAAAGATGGATAGATAGATAGCCTTCCGGTCCTTGAAGATTCAGCTGCTTTGTATCTGAATCAAGAGAGAAAAGTGGAATATTAATATTATACTAATATATTTATATTCTATATTAATATTATATTGATATATTTATATTCTATATTAATATTGAAGTGTTATTTAAATTAATATTCTATACTGATATTATATTACTACTACTACTATTATTATATGGAATAATATAGAATATTAATATATAATAATAATAACAGGTCTTCTGATCCTTGAAGATTCAGCTGCTTTGCATCTGAATCAACAGAGAAAAGTGGAATATTAATATTAACATATTAATATTCTATATTAATATTATATTGATATATTAAATTAATATTCTATATTAATGTTATATTACTACTAATACTAATATTATTATTATATAGAATAATATAGAATATTAATATAATTATTATATTAATAATAATAATAATAATAATAATAATAGACTTTCTGGTCCTTGAAGATTCAGCTGCTTTGCATCTGAATCAAGAGGGGAGAGTGGAATATTAATATTCTATATTATGATTATTATGATTATTATTATATAGAATATATAATATAATATTATATAATATTATATTATACCAATATATAATATTATATAAATATATTATGATATTTATATTCCATATTACTATAGCATAATAGTAGCATATTAATATTCTATATTACTATTAGATTAATAATAATGCAACAATATAGAATATTAATATATATAATATGATATTAATATTCCATATTACTATACCAATATATATATTAATATATTATGATATTGATATTCCATATTACTATATTATAATAGTTATTTATTAATATTCTATATTACTATTATATTAATAAGAATGTAACAATATAGAATTTTAATATATATAACATAATATAAATTGTATTATTTATTTTATATAATATATATAATATTATACCAATATATAATATTATAGTAATATATTATGATATTAATATTCCATATTACTATATTATAATAGTAACACTAATATTCTATATTACTATTATATTAATAATAATGTAACTATAGAATGTTAATATAAGTAATATATAATAATTATTATTATTAATAATTAATAATAATAATAATAATGGTCCTTGAAGATCCAGCTGCTTTGCATGTCAATCAAGCCAAGAGAAAGAGAGAAGTGCAGCTGAGGTCTTGCAAAAGCAGCCCCCCAGGAAGGGGGCGTGGCCTGTGCGGGGAAGGGGGCGTGGCCTAGGCTTGCCTGGGAGTGGGTCAGTCCCTGCAAGGCAGCAGCTGGACATTGCAAGCCATGCAAGCCAAGGAGAGGACGCTGAGGCTCCAGTTCGGGAACCGGATCGAGGCCCTTTGTGTGGTGGGATCCAGCCTCTCCACAGATGTCTATGGGTGAGACACAGAGGGAGACCCCCCCCCCCACTTTGCAAAAAAAAAAAATAGGGACGCGGCCCCTTTAAGAAGGAAAACTTTTACATTGTTGCTCTGCATTGTTGCTTTCTTGAGGAAGTGGGGTTTCCCCCTCCATTGCTTTGCAGCAGATCAGATCCCTTATTTTATATACATTTTATATACAGCAATCTAACATCTATGTATGTATCTCCATATCTATCTATCTTCTGGGGTTGGACTAAAGGACCTTTGGGGGACCCCTTACAACTCTGGGATCCTTCCTATCTATCTCTATCTATCTATCTATCTTCAGGGGCTGGGCTGGATGGCCTTTGAGGTGCCTCTTCCAACTCTAGGATCTTTCTTATCTCTCTATCTATCTTCTGGGGTTGGACTAGACAGCCTTTGGGGGCCCCTTCCCATTCTAGGATCCTTCCTTCCTATCTATCTATCTATCAATCAATCAATCAGTCATCTATTTATGTGTCTCTGTATCTATCTTTCCTATCTATCTTCTGAGGTTGGACTAGATGGCCTTTGGGGACCCCTTCCAATTCTAGGATTGTGTCTGTCTATCTATCTATCTATCTACCTATCTATCCATCCATCCATCCATCTAACATCTATGTATGTGTCTCCATATCTATCTGTCTGTCTGTCTCTATCTTGTGGGGTTGGACTAGATGGCCTTTGGGGGACCCTTCCAACTCTAGGATTGTGTCTGTCTATCTATCTATCTATCTACCTATCTATCTATCCATCCATCCATCCATCCATCCATCTAACATCTATGTATGTGTCTCCATATCTATCTTTCTTTCTTTCTATCTATCTATCTATCTATCTGTCTCTATCTATCTTGTGGGGTTGGACTAGATGGCCTTTGGGGGACCCTTCCAACTCTAGGATTGTGTCTATCTATCTATCTATCTCCATCCATCCATCCATCCATCCATCTAACATCTATGTATGTGTCTCCATATCTATCTTTCTATCTATCTATCTGTCTCTATCTATCTTGTGGGGTTGGACTAGATGGCCTTTGGGGGCCCTTCCAACTCTAGGATTGTGTCTGTCTATCTATCTATCTATCTATCTATCTATCATCTACCTATCTATCCATCCATCCATCCATCCATCCATCTAACATCTATGTATGTGTCTCCATATCTATCTTTCTATCTATCTATCTGTCTCTATCTATCTTGTGGGGTTGGACTAGATGGCCTTTGGGGGCCCTTCCAACTCTAGGATCCTTCCTTCCTATCTATATATCCATCTATCTATCTATCATCTATTTATGTGTCTCTCCATCTATTTATCTATCGATTTATGTTCAGGGGTTGGACTAGATGCCCTTTGGGTGCCCCTTCCAACTCTAGGATCCTATCTGTCTGTCTCTCTATTTATCTTTCTCTCTCTCTCTCTCTCTATTTATGTGTCTCTGTATCTATCTATCTGTCTATATATTTTCTGGGGTTGGACTAGATGCCTTTGGGTGCCCCTTCCAACTTTAGGATCCTATATATCTATCTAGCTGTCTATCTATGTGTCTCTCTATTTATTTATTTTTCTTTCTATCTCTCTCTCTTTTTGTGTCTCTGTATCTATATATCTATTTCAATGGTTCTCAACCTGGGATCCCCAGATGTTTTTGGCCTACAACTCCCAGAAATCTTAGCCAGTTTACCAGCTGTTAGGATTTCTGGGAGTTGAAGGCCAAAAACATTTGGGGACCCCAGGTTGAGAACCACCAATCTATTTATATATTTTCTGGGGTTGGACTAGATGGCTTTTGGATGCCCCTTCCAACTCTAGGATCCTATCTATCTATCTATCTATCTATCTATCTATCTATCTATCTATCTATGTGTCTCTCTATTTATCTCTCTCTCTCTCTCTCTCTATTTCTGTGTCTCTGTATCTATCTATCTATTTATATATTTTCTGGGGTTGGACAAGATGGCCTTTGGGTGCCCCTTCCAACTAGGATCCTATCTATCTATCTATCTATCTATCTATCTATCTATCTATCTCTATATATCTATTTATGTGTCTCTCTATCTATATCTATCTATTTATTTTCAGGGGTTGGACTAGATGGCTTTTGGAGATCCCTTCCAACTCTAGGATCCTATCTATCTATCTATCTATCTATCTATCTATCTATCTATCTATCTATCTATCTGTCTATCTGTCTCTCTATTTATTTATTTACCTATCTATCTATGTGTCTGTCTATCTATCTATCTATCTATCTATCTATCTATCTATCTATCTATCTATCTATGTGTCTCTGTATCTATCTATCTATCTATCTATCTTTATTTTCAGGGGTTGGCCTAGATGGCCTTTGAGGGCCCCTTCCAACTCTAGGATCCTATTTATCTATATATCTCTATATATCTATTTATGTGTCTCTCTATCTATATCTATCTATTTATTTTCAGGGGTTGGACTAGATGGCCTTTGGAGATCCCTTCCAACTCTAGGATCCTATCTATCTATCTATCTATCTATCTATCTATCTATCTATCTGTCTATCTGTCTCTCTATTTATTTATTTACCTATCTATCTATGTGTCTGTCTATCTATCTATCTATCTATCTATCTATCTATCTATCTATCTATCTATCTATGTGTCTCTGTATCTATCTATCTATCTATCTATCTATCTATCTATCTATCTATCTTTATTTTCAGGGGTTGGCCTAGATGGCCTTTGAGGGCCCCTTCCAACTCTAGGATCCTATTTATCTATATATCTCTATATATCTATTTATGTGTCTCTCTATCTATATCTATCTATTTATTTTCAGGGGTTGGACTAGATGGCCTTTGGAGATCCCTTCCAACTCTAGGATCCTATCTATCTATCTATCTGTCTGTCTGTCTGTCTCTCTGTCTGTCTCTCTATTTACCTATCTATCTATGTGTCTATCTATCTATCTATCTATCTATCTATCTATCTATCTATGTGTATCTGTATCTATCTATCTATCTATCTATCTATCTATCTATCTATCTATTTATTTTCAGGGGTTGGCCTAGATGGCCTTTGAGGGCCCCTTCCAACTCTAGGATCCTATTTATCTATATATCTCTATATATCTATTTATGTGTCTCTCTATCTATATCTATCTATTTATTTTCAGGGGTTGGACTAGATGGCCTTTGGAGATCCCTTCCAACTCTAGGATCCTATCTATCTATCTATCTATCTATCTATCTATCTATCTGTCTGTCTGTCTGTCTGTCTGTCTGTCTGTCTGTCTGTCTGTCTCTCTATTTACCTATCTATCTATGTGTCTATCTATCTATCTATGTGTATCTGTATCTATCTATCTATCTATCTATCTATCTATCTATCTATCTATCTATCTATTTTCAGGGGTTGGCCTAGATGGCCTTTGAGGGCCCCTTCCAACTCTAGGATCCTATTTATCTATATATCTCTATATATCTATTTATGTGTCTCTCTATCTATATCTATCTATTTATTTTCAGGGGTTGGACTAGATGGCTTTTGGAGATCCCTTCCAACTCTAGGATCCTATCTATCTATCTATCTATCTATCTATCTATCTATCTATCTATCTATCTCTGTATCTTCATGGGTTGGATAGCCTTTGTGTGCCCCTTTCAACTCTAGGATCCTATCGATCTGTCTTTCTGTCTTTCTATCTCTCTGTCTATCTATCTATCTATCTATCTATCTATCTATCTATCTATCTATCTATCTATGTGTCTCTGTATCTATCTATCTATCTATCTATCTATCTATCTATCTATCTATCTATCTATCTATCTATGTGTCTCTGTATCTCTGTATCTATCTATCTATCTATCTATCTATCTATCTATCTATCTATCTATCTATCTATCTATCTATGTGTCTCTGTATCTATCTATCTATCTATCTATCTATCTATATCTATCTATGTGTCTCTGTATCTATCTATCTATCTATCTATCTATCTATCTATCTATCTATCTATCTATCTATGTGTCTCTGTATCTATCTATCTATCTATCTATCTATCTATCTATCTATCTATGTGTCTCTGTATCTATCTATCTATCTATCTATCTATCTATTTATTTTCAGGGATTGGACTAGAGGGTCTTTGGGGGCCCCTTCCAATTCTAGGATCTTTCCTATATCTATCTTTCCAACTCTAGGATCCTATCTGTCTATCTGTCTATGTGTCTGTCTATCTATCTATCTATCTTCATGGGCTGGATAGCCTTTGGGTGCCCCTTCCAACTCTAGGATCCTATCGATCTATCTATCTATCTATCTATCTATCTATCTATCTATCTATCTATCTATTTATGTGTCTCTGTATCTATCTACCTATTTGTTTTCACGGGTTGGACTAGATGCCCTTTGGGGCCCCTTCTAACTCTAGGATCCTTCCTATCTATCTATCTATCTATCTATCTATCTATCTATCTATCTATCTATCTATCTGTAAGGGTGGACTAGATGCCCTTTGGGTGCCCCTCCCAGCCTTGCCCTGTCTTCTGTAACGAGCCAAGAACCCTTCCATCGCAGAGCGTGAGGTCTCAATTCCTTCCAGTGCAAGGAGGAGGAGGAGGAGGAGGAGGAGGTTCAGTGGAGTTCAATGGAGATCGAGTGGGTGACTTGTCAGCGGAGGCCTTGCCCAAACCCTCTGAGCCTCTGCCAAGAAGATCCAGAAGAGCCTGGCGGATGTTTGAAATGCCCGTCCGATTGCACACCCTTGCCTTAGGGTCCCCCATCTGGCCCTGGGATGATGACGATGGGCTCCGGAGGAAGCCTTGATCTAGCCAACGCAAGGCGGGAAGGGGCACCCAGAGGCCATCTAGTCCAAAAAGATAAACAACAAGCATGGCAGAGATAGATAGATAGATAGATAGATAGATAGATAGATAGATAGATAGATAGATAGATATGTCTATATAAACAGGCAAGCAATAATAATAATATTGTTATTTTGATATTTAATACTATAATAATAGTATTTTATAATAATAATATTCCGTGTAATTCTAACAATAACATTTAATCATAAAATAATAATATTCCGTGTAATTTTAATAATAATAATTAATCATAAAATAATATTTCATAATAAAATAAGAATAATTCATGCAATTTTAATAATAACAATAATAATTCATAATGAAATAATAATGCACTGGGATGACACTGGGATACCTGTGGTGGAGGAAACACATAAAAGGGACACTGGGATACCTGTGGTGGAGGAAACACATAAGAGGAACGCTGGGATGCCTGTGGTGGAGGAAACACATAAAAGGAACAGTGGGGTGCCTGTGGTGGAGGAAACACATAAAAGGAATGCTGGGGTGCCTGTGGTGGAGGAAACATAAAAGGAACAGTGGGGTGCCAGTGGTGGAGGAAACACATAAAAGGGACACTGGGGTGCCTGTGGTGGAGGAAACACATAAAAGGGACACTGGTGTGCCTTTGGTGGAGGAAACACATAAAAGGGACACTGTGGTGCCTGTAGTGGAGGAAACACATAAAAGGAACAGTGAGGTGCCTGTGGTGGAGGAAACACATAAAAGGAACAGCGGGGTGCCTGTGGTGGAGGAAACACATAAAAGGAACAGTGGGGTGTCTGTGGTGGAGGAAACACATAATAGGAACGCTGGGGTGCCTGTGGTGGGGAAAACGCATTAAAGGAACTGTGGGGTGCCTGGGATGGAGGAAACGCATAAAGGGAACTGTAGGGTGCCTGTGGTGGAGGAAACACAAAAGGAACGGGGTGGCTGTGGTGGAGGAAACACATAAAAGTAACAGTGGGGTGTCTGTGGTGGAGGAAACGCATAAAAGGAACAGTGGTGTGCCTGTGGTGGAGGAAACACATAAAAGAACAGTGGGTTGCCTGTGGTGGAGGAAATGCATAAAAGAAACAATGGGGTGCCTGTGGTGGAGGAAATACATAAAAGGAATAGTGGGTTTCCAGTGGTGGAGGAAATACATAAAGGGAACAGTGGGGTTCCAGTGGTGGAGGTAATACATGGAATTGTCCCCAAATGAAAGCCTTCCCTTGTGTGGTGTGCAGTGTAGTGTTGGTGGATGGCATTGGCAGAGCTCTCGGTGCATGCTCAGAGACTACTTCAATCTCTCTCCAATTGAAATGCTTGCAAAAAGGGAGCCAAGCGGTCCTTTGCCCATCTCTTTTCCCTGCGGTCATCCCTCCGGACAAAAGACAATAATCCCCTTGTAAGCCGTGCTTGACCGTTGCCAAGAGGCCTCTTTTTGCAGCCTTTGTCCGTTGTCTCAGTGAGCGGCCGATGCCAGGGACGGGACACCGAGACATTCGCTGACGGTGCCACTGGGACCCCATTGTTGTTGCGGTTTGGACAGAAATGCTCCCAAAAGAGTCTGGCCAAATTAACAATTGGGAAGGGCAATCACAACATTTGCAGAATGTCCTGTTCCTGTTCTATCTCGATCTGTCTATGTATCTCCCCAATGGAGAGAGTAAGGAACACTGGGGTGCCTGTGGTGGAGGAAACACGTAAAATCTAGGATGGAATGCCCTCCCCCCCCACATATGAAAGCCTTCACTTAGGTGGCTCTCGCCAATGGAGAGAGTAAGGAACACTGGGATGCCTGTGATGGAGGAAATACATACAATCTAGGATGGAATGCCCCCCCCATATGAAGGCCTTCACTTAGATGGCTCTCACCAACCCATGGAGAGAGTAAGGAACACTGGGGTGCCTGTGGGGGAGGAAACGCGTAAAATCTAGGACGGAATGCCCCCCCCMTATATGAAAGCTTTCACTTAGGTGGTTCTCACCAATGGAGAGAGTAAGGAACACTGGGATGCCTGTGGTGGAGGAAACATGTAAAATCTAGGACGGAATGCCCCCCCCCATATGAAAGCCTTCTCTTGGGTGGCTCTCACCAATGGAGAGAGTAAGGAACACTGGGATGCCTGTGGTGGAGGAAACGTGTAAAATCTAGGATGGAATGCCCCCCATATGAAAGCCTTCACTTAGGTGGTTCTCACCAATGGAGAGAGTAAGGAACACTGGGGTGCCTGTGGTGGAGGAAACACGTACAATCTAGGATGGAATGCCCCCCCCCCATGAAGGCCTTCACTTAGGTGGTACTCACCAATGGAGAGAGTAAGGAACACTGGGGTGCCTGTAGTGGAAGGAACTACGATGTTTCCTAGCTATCTCTATCTTTAGGGATGGGTCTAGGTGGCCTTTGGAGGCCCCTTCCAACACTAGGATCCTTCCTATCTATCTGTCTGTGTGTATTCAAGGGTTGGACTGGATGGCCTTTGGGTGCCCCTTCCAACTCTTGCTCTTCTTCGGTCCTCTCCTTCCTTTGGCAGCGCTGCCCCGGCCGAGGCGGTCACGTTCAGCGTGAAGCACACGGATGGCGTGGACGTGGAGGTGGTGTCCGGCGGTCAAGCGGAGGTGGCCCCCTCGGACGGAGGGAAGCGGTGGCCACTCGACCCCAAGACCACCCTCCGCATCCAGATGACCCGCCCCAGCACAGAGGCCAACGACAACAAGGTGAGCCGGGAATGGCCGCGGCATCCTCGAATGACCCAGGCCATCATTCATTGTGTTTCATTCAACTGGACGTCACTGGAACTGCTTTCTCCTTTCTCCAGCTCTGGGAGGAAGGGTCTGCATCTCCATTGCAACACTCTTTTTCTTCCTCCCTTCCTCCCTTCTCTCTTTTTTGCCCTTCCTTCCTTCCCTCCATTCCTTCCTTCCTTTCCTCCAATTTCCACCTTTGCAAACATTGTTGTTGTTGTTGTTGTTGTTGTTGTGATAGGTTCACCTCCCTCTCCTTCCCTCCCCTTAGGTGACCGTTGGATATTTTGGGGAAAACGGAAAGCACCCCATTGACCAAGCCGGGGTTTTCCTGACTGCCATCTGTGAGTTTGTTTCAGTACTATGTTACATATACTATAAATATGACAAGCAAACTATGGTTTGTTACATATATTATAAGTGGCATAAGAAGCAAAGTATGGTTTGTTACTTATACTAGAAATACCATGACAAGCAAACTATGGTTACTCTGGTTTGTTGACAAGCAAACTATGAGTTGTTACTATGGTTTATTGACAAGCAAACCGTGGTTTGTTACTCTGTGTTGACAAGCAAACTATGAGTTGTTACTATGGCTTATTGACAAGAAAACTGTGGTTACTCTGTGTTGACAAGCAAGCTATGAGTTGTTACTATGTTTGTTGATAATCAAACTATGAGTTGTTACAATGGTTTGTTGACAAGCAAACTATGAGTTGCTACTATGGCTTATTGACAAGAAAACTGTGGTGTGTTACTATGATTTATTGCAAGCAAACTGTGGTTTGTTACTATGTGTTGACAAGCAAACTATGAGTTGTTACTATGTTTGTTGATAATCAAACTATGAGTTGTTATTATGGTTTTTTGACAAGCAAACTATGAGTTGTTACTATGGTTTATTGACAAGCAAACTTTGGTTTGTTACTCTGGTTTTTTGACAAGCAAACTGTGTTGTTACTGTGGTGTGTTGACAAGCAAACTATGAGTTGTTACTATGGTTTGTTGACAAGCAAACTGTGGTTTGTTACTATGGTTTGTTGACAAGCAAACTGTGGTTTGTTACTCTGGTTTGTTGACAAGCAAACTATGAGTTGTTACTATGGTTTACTGACAAGAAAACTGTGAATTGTTACTCTGGTTTGTTAACAAAGTATGAGTTGTTACTATGGTTTATTGACAAGCAAACTGTGGTTTGTTACTCTGGTTTGTTGACAAGCAAACTATGTGTTGTTACTGTGGTGTGTTGACAAGCAAACTATGAGTTGTTACTATGGTGTGTCGACAAGCAAACTGTGGTTTGTTATTGACAATCAAATTATGGTTTGTTACTATGGTTTGTTGACAAGCAAACTTTGGTTTGTTACTCTGGTTTGTTGACAAGCAAACTATGAGTTGTTACTATGATTTACTGACAAGAAAACTATGAATTGTTACTCTGGTTTGTTGACAAACAGACTATGAGTTGTTAATATGGTTTATTGACAAGCAAACTGGTTTGTTACTCTGGTTTGTTGACAAGCAAACTATGAGTTGTTACTATGGATTATTGACAAGAAAACTGTGGTTTGTTACTCTGGTTTGTTGACAAACAAACTATGAGTTGTTACTATGGTTTGTTGACAAGCAAACTATGGGTTGTTACTTGTATAAATGCCATGACAAGCAAACTATGGTTTGCTACTTGTACTATAAATACTACGAGAAGCAAACTATGGTTTGCTTCTTGTTCTATAAATACCACAAGAAGCAAACTATGGTTTGGTTTGTTCTATAAATATAATAACAAGCAAACTGTGTTTTCTTACTTGTACTATGAATACCATGACAAGCAAACTAGAGTTTGTTACTTGTACGATCAATGCCATGACAAGCAAACTATGGTTTGTTACTTGTACTGTAAATACCATGAGAAGCAAACTAGGGTTTGTTACTTGTACTATAAGTGCCATGACAAACAAACTATGGTTTGTTACTTGTACTATAAATACTACGAGAAGCAAACTATGGTTTGTTCCTTGTACTATCAATACTACGAGAAGCAAACTAGGGTTTGTTACCTGTACTATAAATACCATGAGAATCAAACTATGGTTTGTTACTTGTATGATCAATGCCATGACAAGCAAACTATGTTTGCCCTTAGCCATTTCCCTGGATGTCGACGCGGACCGGGATGGAGTGGTGGAGAAGAACCATCCAAAGAAGGTAAATACGGCCATTGTGTTGCTCTCGTGGCACAGGTGAGAAAGCCACAAAATTGGGGTGGGAGGACCACAATTCACGATGTTCTTAAGGCGGAGGAAGGGCCGGCGAAGGGTCAGCCGAGGTGCCTGCCGTTGCGTTTACAAGGAACTCTCCCTCCCGGCCTTTCTCCGGGAAAAAGGACCCCGCAGAGCGCATACCTTGGCATTGCTTTCGGCCTCCCTGCTGAGATGAGGCTCTGCTCCGCTTTTACTCCGAGGACAGGCCGCTCCCTCTAGAGCTTGCCTTCAAGGCGCATAACGAATTTGGGATTTACGACCATCGGTTTGGGTGGCTCTGCCAGCGACTCCTTGGAACCCCGTCCCTGATTTACGGCCGCCTTGACCGGTTGGACATTGAGATCCCTTCTGCCTTTCAGGTTGAGAGTAGGACACACGGCCATGGGGAAGCCAACTAGGACTCTCTCCTACCTACACTATAATATTGTGATATATGTCTTTAAATCTTACTTCTGTTTCTGAGTATGTGCATAATATACAAGAGTCCTGCCAATTTCCAGGTAGGAAAGAGTTAAGGGAGAGGCAGTGGGCAAGTTCGTGCAAATTCCACACCAAGGGAGAGAGTCAGGAACACTGGGATGCCTGTGGTGGAGGAAACACATCAAAGGAGCACTGGGGTGCCTGTGGTGGAGGAAACATATCAAACGAACACTGGGATGCCTGTGGTGGAGGAAACACATAAAGGGAACACTGGGGTGTCTGTAGTGGAGGAAAGGAACACTGGGGTGTCTGTGGTGGAGGAAACACATAAAAGGGTCACTGGGTGGCAGAGGAAACACATAAAGGGAACACTGGGGTGCCTGTGGTGGAGGAAACGCATCAGAGGAACATTAGGATGCCTGTGATGGAGGAAACACATCAAAGGAATACTGGGATGCCTGTGGTGGAGGAAACACATCAAAGGAACACTAGGATGCCTGTAGTGGAGGAAACACATCAAATAAACACTGGGGTGCCTGTGGTGGAGGAAACACATAAAAGGAACACTGGGGTGCCTGTGGCGGAGGAAAAACATCAAAGGGACACTGGGGTGCCTGTGGTGGAGGAAAGGAACATTGCGATGCGTGTGGTGGAGGAAACACATAAAAGGAACGCTGGGGTGCCTGTGGTGGAGGAAACACATAAAAGGGACACTGGGGTGCCTGTGGTGGAGGAAACACATAAAAGGAACGCTGGGGTGCCTGTGGTGGAGGAAACACATAAAAGGGACACTGGGGTGCCTGTGGTGGAGGAAAC